TGTTCTCTTCAGTTTACAGATGGAAAAACTGAGCTCAGGCAAGGTAAAATGACTTGTCTATGGTCAAATTTAGTATCATTTAGTATCAGAGTTAGGAATAGGATGCAGGAATCCTTCTTTCCCTTTGGACACTATCTCAAAACCACTAGGAGAGACTGGATCTAGGAGCCTTGACTTTTTTCACGCTAGCCAATACAACTCACATATGTTGAATGCTTTTGGTAAAATGCTTGCAGATGAATGTTGCTTGTAGGTGTTTTAGGGTTTTGGCTCCTTTTTGGTCGGTGCCTTGCCCCTTAGCGACACCAGGGTGAGATCAGGCTTTGGTGCCACTTAGATGGTTCAGGCGCTGCTCCTACTCGCTTGCCACATCTTTGATGTTTGTTGTTGGGGAGGTAGTTCCCTGTAGGTGGCCCAAAAAGGGGGTCTTGACCCTGCTTTTCTTTGTGGGGCTCCAACCTCCCCTTTACCATGTCCACAGCCTGGGCAAACGCTGCTCACCTTAGGTCTTCCCCTGGATGATCTTGCCTCATCTATGCTGCCTGCCTCAAAACGGGTTGGGTTTTCCTAGCTGTCAGTCTTTCCCCTGTCTTCAGGCTGGCTCTCAGGCAACTAAACCTGCCCCAGCTGTGGCTAACTGTAACTAAGGAAAACTTAACTGAAAAGTGTCCAGCATCTACCACCGGGCTCCTGGGATTCAGTCTCCCTGGACCCCCTTGGTCACTTGGGGGGACTCGTCCATCCCTTCCCTCCTACTAGGCGTGGGGACAGGCAGCTGCCCCGTGCCCAGTCTCTGTCAGTTCTCTCTGCTGGACCCCCCTGGGGCCCGGCTGACCTGTAGTCAAGTTATCCTGGTCCTACCAGCCAGTGGTGCTTGCCACTGCCATGCGGGGCTCTGTAGCTTCCTGCGCCTCCCTCTTTGCTATGCTGCCCGAGGGTGCCAGCAGTCCCTTGTTGCCACTCCCTGCCACAGTACTTGTGCTCCCTGGTGTGGCTGCGGCTCTGCTCCTGGGCGTCCCGGGGGGACTGCTTCCCCTGATGGAGCTCCCCAGTGTCCCTCCATTCCTGGGGCTTGGGCTCCTCGTTCCATCTGCCAGGATCCTCTGGCAGACACTTAGCCTCTTCTCCCCGCATTTGGGGCTGGTGCTCCCCTGTTCTGCAGCCAACATCTCCTGACTGGCGTTCTGCTCTCCTCTTCCCCAGGGCCACAGCTGTATCTTTGGCTGCTTTTCTGAGCAGCCCGCGCCTCTCCGGAGCCATGCCCCCGGGACTTGCCAATTCGCAGGCTCAGGCTCGCAGGAACTGCCGAGCTTGTGTTGGCATCTCTCCCCAGCTGCCGCTCATCTTCGCCCCTGCGGTGAGTATCAGAGTGCATTCGGCAGGGGTTTGGGACGTGTTGTGGGGGCTTTTGCCTCCCCTCTCACAATGAGCTACAAAGCAAGAAATGTGTCCAGAACCTATTCAGCAAGGATTTTGGAAGAACCGGTGCATTCAAGAGAATCGTAGAGTATTCATAGGCTGTGGAGAAAAGGTGTTTTAAAAAAAAAATCAGAAAAAGGACTTATGACTTTGTTCTTTTGTTTAAAAAAAAAAGTGGAGAAATGTAGCTGCTATGTTTCCTCCCTCATGCCCAACCACTTAATGTTGAGCTTTGGAAGGGCAAGAGTCTGAGCATTGTTACACGGGGGCCAAACAGATTACACTTGTCACTGGAAGGGGTCACTCATCTAGATCCACCACTCTGAGGCCTGCCAAAAGGACATTTGAGTATCAATCATGCAGAAAGAAGGGAAAATGAGAGAGAGGAAGGAGGGGATGAGGAAAAAAGGAAATGGAAGAGGACAACTCTAAGAAGACTCTGACACCCCCTCTATGCATTCAGGTAAAGGCACGATGGGATCTAATGCACAATTCACACAATAGCACCTTCTGCCATGCCACAAGTGCATGGCAGGGTTGTGGGATCACGAGTAAGATCACATTGTGCCTTATTGCCAGTACAGGAGAGCCCGATCCCAGGTTCCCCCTGCACTGGAATGAAGCAACCTCCTGTGGCTGGGAACACCACGCACCCCCAGGAGCGGGGATGGGGATGTGGGAAACTGATGGGGCTCCCAGCCACAGGGGAGAGACCCTGCTACATGTACAAATTAAAGTTTGATAGCAATTAGCTAGAAAGTCAGTGCACATTTTTGAGGTCTAACTTTATAGCTGGTTGGAGTTTTTTATTGTGATAACTACTTTGTACATGTAGCTGATCTCCAGGTAATTGTGCAGTTAACCAGTTAATTGCACAATACCTATAATGTGTAGAGGAAGTTTTAGTGATTCCAAGTGCAGAATCCTCAGTTGGAAAGGAACTGTTTCCCTGGCTAAAGCTAGGCTAGTATTTTAAGCTGGATGGGTTCCAAAACCTTAGCAAAGCTCTTAACTTTTAAAGTGACACCTGCTTCCTACTAAAAGGAGAATCCCACCCCCCCAAGAGGCTTCTTCCTTATGTTCAAGTGAGAGCTATGTTCTCATACTCAAAACATCTGAGGAAAAACCATGAGAAGATCTGCTGCAGCAAGGCCATGAGATTGCTGGGGTTGTCCCCTGCCAAAGGCCCTTGTGAAGCTGAAACCACAGCCACCCCTTCCCTCCAGCCTCCCATTGGTCAACTGTGATGGCTTACGCAGAATGAGCCCTTTTGAATGCTTGAGCCTTGTCCCCAGTATTTTCCTTTCACATGCTGTTGATTCTAGAAATCCAGGAGCCTGCCCAATAAAACAGCAGAGGCCACATCTCATGCCACAGCGAGGTTTTTCAGTTTTTGTGCCAGAACAGAGCATTAGCTCATCTGGTCTGACCTCCTGTACTTACTGAGAGGTCTGACTTCTTATGACCCCTAAATCCTTTTCAGAATCACTGATTTCCATTGAACAAGGCCCAGGGCCACACACTGAACAATAAGGAGAAAACAAAATACTAAACAGCTGCTCATTAAGTGAGCACCATGCACCAGTGCACCTAATTAGGTAGGGGTCCTGGGGAAAAATAATACTGCCATCGTATACTTAAAAGTCTGTATCAGAATGCACATTCCCAAAGAGACCAAATTAAGGTCATCCACATTCTGCCATTTCTTGAGTGCTTGACTTTGTAACCTTAATAATGTTCTCTTAACTGTGCGGGCCGGGTGCGCCCCAGGCCCTTTTTCGCGCTGCACGCGGGCTGTGGCCAGCAGCCCGGGCACGCGGGGGCGGAGAGGGGTGGCTTTCGCTCTGGAATTAGGCACGGACGCGTATCGGTAGTTTAAAAGATTGTTTACTTACACCGAGATGGCAGTGGTGTAGGCTGGAAAGCTTGCTTCAGTTGCAGTTACAGAGAAGAAAAAGGAAAGAGGCGGACAAGAGTTCTAGACTCGTGAACTCTAGCCCAATCCGGCTGAAGGCTCTGAACACGCGAGCCCGTCGCATCAGCCGAAGAAAGTACTCGTCCGGAAGAGCTCTGAGCCAACTCACACGAAGTTTGCTAGGCTCCGTGGGTCCAGTTCTTTTGCGCGCGGGTGGGGTACGTCTAGGAATTCTATTGGCGACGGGGAGAGGCTAGAGATTGATCAGATCTCCGTAGCCTGCTTCAAATGCACTGGGTCCGTGAGGATCCGCAGCGCTTAGAGATCTTCACACAGCATGAAGTCTCCTCCTCCCTTGTTCGTGGAGTCCTCCAACTTGGGCGGAAACCACTCAAGCCTCTTATACGGCCAGCAAGCCAATCACTAGCCGCCACGTGTGAATAATTTAGAACTGGCCAATAATGGGACCCAAATCTACATACAAATGGCGGGAACTCTTTGCAACGAGCGTTTCTGTGCTGCAGCAAAGAAATGCACCCTGCAAAGAAAGCTTCAAATCGGCGGGAAATTCTCCCTTGCACCGGGGTTCTCTTTTGCAGCAGAAAATTCCACCGTGCAAGGAAGCTTGCAATTTAGTGGGGACAATTTAGCAGTGCCGAAGCACACACAAATAAAAATCACACCTTTTGGGTTGTGACATTAACATACTTTGCGTGGTTTCCAAAATGTTTTTTTAAAGCAAACTAGCCCCCCCAAATTCTGTTATGTGGCATCATATTAACACCCAAATAATTGGAACAGCTTTGATTCGCAGACCCCTGCACCAATCTTTAGCCCATTCAGGTAACACAATATCTGATAGCACTAGTAGTTTGTCATCCTCTGTATGAACTAGCAGTAGAGGAGGATGCAATATGAGTATGTCTGCAGTATAAAGCAGCACTATGCAGAAATATGTGAATTAGTGCTGTGCATACTTGACTCAAAACAGATGCAGTCTGTTCTAGTCTGCTGTCCTGGGCTAGAGCAGTATAGACGCATTCATGTGGTTCCGCCCCTGGGTGAATTGGTTCTGAGCTCCTAGGCTGCAGCAAGCTTAGTGTGGATGAAATGGTGGGGAAATTTAGCTGCTAAAACCTACTGCTTATGTGTCATCTACCAAATTCAAGTCACTGTGCCATAACTTTGAGGTGCTAAGAAGTTTTCATAAGAAATCATTATCAGATTTAACACTAACCCAACAACATTTTTTCTCTAGTCATTTTTTTCAAAAACAGCTGAATTGGGACACCTAGGGTTGGAAAAGTTCAGCCCAAATGGTTGAAGTATGACAAAAAGTGAAAATGGCTTTGGAACAAGAAATGTTACATAATCATAACAGTGCTCACAATCCCACCTATAATGATTTATCAATTTGAGATTTTAGCTCATTTAAATTGCTTTTTAACCTCCTTTTATGTATACCAGACCCATGTCTGTTTGCAGACAGGACCTGTCATGTTTTTCAAGGCAGAATAAAACTTTAAAGGCCATTTTTTAAAGATGCTGCCTCCTGGTAGATTCAATACAAGAAGCTAAACCTTGTAGAACGATTCTTCCCCGCCCCCCCCCCCCCCCCCTTTTCTCCCCCCCCCCCCCCCCCCCAAACAAACCCAAAAAACAAAAACACCTTTAACTTTCAATGGGAAAATATCAAGTTTTTTTTATTGACTCTTGTGCTTCACAAGTCTGAACTGGGTCACTAATTAGCCTGGTGATGAAGAGAAACCTTGAAAACAAATGTAACTGGCACCTGTACTGTCTGCTTGGATCTACAGAGAGCTTGAAATCATAGCTCTGAAAGATTTGAATGGTCTCATGCTAATCTCAATATGATGGTATACCTCTGAAGAGTGACATTTAAATATAAGCCAGAAATATTTCATTGTTATTCTGTATGTCTAAGATATAACTCATCTTTTTAGGCACAAACTACTACCCTGATGTTTGTTTGCAAGTGGAAGGAATCTGACTTGTGGACAGAACATAGAAAGGTGCTATCATTTTTCTTTCCCTCCCCTATATGAACTCCTCCAGTAGGCACTGGTTTTCTTGAATTGTTCCTATCCTCTACATTAGTCAGTGTCCTGAATAGTTTATCTGAAGCCAGTAGTTGGCCCTAAATTTAAAATAATATATACAGATATTCTTGTGCTAGCCTGTTATGCTGGTGTCCCATAATAAGAATCCTTCAGCTGGAGCTGGAGGAAACCTCAGGAGGGTAAGGTTGAACCATAGGAGCAGAGTCAAAGAAGATTCATGTGGATCCTGGGAGAAGTGAAGGTTAAGTGACTGGAGACCCATTTTTGTTGTGCTTGACTAAAGGGGAGCTGAATTGCAGACTTCAGCAGGGTGCAACACTACAAGGTCTTGAGAACATTCTCCCTCCCATGTGCTTTTCCCCAATTCATCACAGAACAACGCCCTGTGTTTCTAGTGCATTCAAGAACAGAAAAGTCAGTACATTTCTAGTTCCAAATTACAAGTTGGCATAATACACTCTAGTCCAGAGCTTTCCAAACTTTTCATGTTGGTGACACACTTTTTAGACGTGCATCATTTCGCGACACAGTAATTCAGTTCCGGGGGAGGGGCCAAGGGAAGCAGACGCGAGTAAGGGAGCTCTGCGGTGCCCTTCCGCAAAATTTTCTGCATTTCACGTGACACACCTACACACTGCCACCGACACACTAATGTGTCGCGGCACACAGTTTGGAAAGCTCTGCTCTAGTCTAAGGATTGTAAAGCATACAGTATGTCTATGCTACAAAATTAAGGTATGATTTTAGCATAGGCCAAGGTAACCATGCTAGCTTTAGCCTACCTAACGCAGGGAGTGATAGCAATGAAGACTTGGTAGCATGTTTTGAAAAATTGTTAGCAATCGGAGTAACGTCTTTCTGGGGGTTCTGGTTGTAGTGTATATGAAAGCCAATGTCCTGGCACTTTTACTGCTATTGTTGTTTGTGATAAGTACTTTAAAGTTAGCACGGTTTGATAATACTTGCTATAATCACATTTTTTGTCTTGCTATTGCTAAAATGTCTAGTTCTTATTTCAGAAGCAGTTAGCTTAAAGCCTGTTAGAACTAGGCTTTTATGAGAACTCCGAGTAGCTTTCTGCCATCAGCGGCTGCATCCAGATGAACATGGACGTGCTTTATGTGGCACACACCACACACGCAGGCATTCCCCCATGCTGCTGCTTTGCAGCGTTGGGGGTTTTTTGTTTGTGGGTTTAGTTTGTTGGTTTTTTTTTTTTGACCCTGGGAGATCCTGGGATCAAAAAAACCCCACACTGAAAAAAAGGAGGGCGGTTCACTGCAGTGCACAGCCCAAAATCAGAGCCTGCCCAGGCAAAGCTATGTTCCAGCTGCTGCCAGGCTCCCTGCTGCAGGAGCACGATGGCTGCAGCTCCCAGAGGACCCCAGGTAAAGTTGCTGAAGCCAGCACAGTTGCTGGCCCCAGCCTCCTCTAGCCCACCCGAGGTAACCTGCTGCACGCCACAGTGCATGTGGCATGGGGGGTGTTCCCCAGGAACAAGTAGCAGTGGCACCGCTAATGTAGACATGGCTAGTGAGAGGGTAACGCATTATTACAATCCTGTATGCAAAGGAAGAAACAGCTGTCTCAAAAAGTTTGCTAGACGTTCTGTTTTTTGGTTTTAGGTGAAATTAGAACTACTATTCGTCAAAGAAGGTCCAATTTAGGTTTAAATATTTGTGGCAAGTATGCACAAATGTATGGGACAATAATTCTTCCTTGTTGGTTCTGTAAATGCCCTGATTGATACTCAGAACATTGCACAGTCCAAATTCTCATTTAGGCATGGGTACAGATTATATTTCATAAAGTAGACTTCGTACCTTCTCTTCAATTTATTCCTATCACAGAACAGAAAATAGAATTTGTTCAATGCAGTTGTCATAAATCTGTGAGAAAAGGCTCTTTAATGCTAATGTACATACTACTGTGTCCAATCTATTTTCATTCCTACCAATATCTTGCATAGCTTTAAACTTTTGTATTCAATAAAAGTAATAAAAAGTGCATTTATAAAAACCAATATAATCGATATAAAGCAATGTGTGCCATGATGACTTTTTGTGATTATCATCTCTGCTTAGGAACAACAGAGTTTGTTTTGCTTTCCATCCAGGACTTTCAAAAAGTGAACCAATTTAACACACTTGCACTGATTGTGTTAGCTTTGCGTATATGATATGCTCCTTTTAGGCATCACCAAGGCACTCTGAATATAGCTAGAAATATGTTTTAAGATAGCAGTCCAAAAGCTCTGTGAAAGACTGATGTACAAATACTCCCCAAACTGACACTCCCCATATTATTTTATCACTTAGTTTTTCCTGTAGGGTTATGTATTTTGATTTTCTTTTTTTAAACCTCAGGAAAATTAATTCATAAAACAAATACAGTAACACCCCCCACCCCCCATGAGGGCAGTTTTAAATGTTTTGAGCTATAGGATATTTTCACTTAATACTGCTTGGCAGGAGAATCTTTGGTCCAGAAATGTCTTGTATGATGGTGGTATTTCAGAACAGTTTTGTGCTATCACTGAAAGGTTCTTCAGGTAAAATACCATATCAGTTTCCTCAAAGTTTCCAGTCAGCCTATCTCTGGTTCATTTTTATCAAAGCATTAAGGAGATCTAATCTCCGGCATCCATAGAGGGCTCTGGCAAGCTTTCCAACTGTAGTCCCTTGGGAACCTAGATCCTGGGATCAAAAAAACCCCACACTGAAAAAAAGGAGGGCGGTTCACTGCAGTGCACAGCCCAAAATCAGAGCCTGCCCAGGCAAAGCTATGTTCCAGCTGCTGCCAGGCTCCCTGCTGCAGGAGCACGATGGCTGCAGCTCCCAGAGGACCCCAGGTAAAGTTGCTGAAGCCAGCACAGTTGCTGGCCCCAGCCTCCTCTAGCCCACCCGAGGTAACCTGCTGCACGCCACAGTGCATGTGGCATGGGGGGTGTTCCCCAGGAACAAGTAGCAGTGGCACCGCTAATGTAGACATGGCTAGTGAGAGGGTAACGCATTATTACAATCCTGTATGCAAAGGAAGAAACAGCTGTCTCAAAAAGTTTGCTAGACGTTCTGTTTTTTGGTTTTAGGTGAAATTAGAACTACTATTCGTCAAAGAAGGTCCAATTTAGGTTTAAATATTTGTGGCAAGTATGCACAAATGTATGGGACAATAATTCTTCCTTGTTGGTTCTGTAAATGCCCTGATTGATACTCAGAACATTGCACAGTCCAAATTCTCATTTAGGCATGGGTACAGATTATATTTCATAAAGTAGACTTCGTACCTTCTCTTCAATTTATTCCTATCACAGAACAGAAAATAGAATTTGTTCAATGCAGTTGTCATAAATCTGTGAGAAAAGGCTCTTTAATGCTAATGTACATACTACTGTGTCCAATCTATTTTCATTCCTACCAATATCTTGCATAGCTTTAAACTTTTGTATTCAATAAAAGTAATAAAAAGTGCATTTATAAAAACCAATATAATCGATATAAAGCAATGTGTGCCATGATGACTTTTTGTGATTATCATCTCTGCTTAGGAACAACAGAGTTTGTTTTGCTTTCCATCCAGGACTTTCAAAAAGTGAACCAATTTAACACACTTGCACTGATTGTGTTAGCTTTGCGTATATGATATGCTCCTTTTAGGCATCACCAAGGCACTCTGAATATAGCTAGAAATATGTTTTAAGATAGCAGTCCAAAAGCTCTGTGAAAGACTGATGTACAAATACTCCCCAAACTGACACTCCCCATATTATTTTATCACTTAGTTTTTCCTGTAGGGTTATGTATTTTGATTTTCTTTTTTTAAACCTCAGGAAAATTAATTCATAAAACAAATACAGTAACACCCCCCACCCCCCATGAGGGCAGTTTTAAATGTTTTGAGCTATAGGATATTTTCACTTAATACTGCTTGGCAGGAGAATCTTTGGTCCAGAAATGTCTTGTATGATGGTGGTATTTCAGAACAGTTTTGTGCTATCACTGAAAGGTTCTTCAGGTAAAATACCATATCAGTTTCCTCAAAGTTTCCAGTCAGCCTATCTCTGGTTCATTTTTATCAAAGCATTAAGGAGATCTAATCTCCGGCATCCATAGAGGGCTCTGGCAAGCTTTCCAACTGTAGTCCCTTGGGAACCTTCCCTCATGAGCCAGTTTTGCAGCATTTGGTAAACTTTTTCTTTTAGTCCATCTCGTTCATAGTCATGGTCAATTACTTCAATATCTGGATTAGTGAAACCCAGTCTACGAGCGCAGTCTTTCCACTGTTTAGCCAAGTTCTCTCTCACTAGATTCAAGTGCTCCTCAGAGAGGATAGTGGTGCTGTCTGCAAAAGAAAGAAGAGTATAAGACAACTTCATTGTTTAAACTTCCCAGTTTAAATTTGTCTCCCCAAATTGTTTGCTGGTAAAGATGGAAGACAGGATTACAGGTATAGGTTTTCCTGGAGGCAGTATGGTTCAGTGGATAAAAAGGAGGACTGGCTGTCACAACAACTGGATCTATATCCCTGGATCAGCTTCTGAAACTTTATTTTTCCCTGGTTCACATCTTAATTCCCTTATGACTCTTTTTGACCACCTGTAAAATTGGGAGAATCTACTTCACAGTGGTGCTATGAGGCTTAACTAACATTTGAAATATGCAACAATCTTTTTTGGTTGAAAGACACTATTGTTAATATTCCTTGCTATAGAAAGCTTTAAAATACATAGTAAGGCCACATCCAGATGTGCAGGGGTGTGTGCTTGCAAGGGCAAAAATAGTAGCAGCGCAAACTTGTGCTGCTACTTTTTGTCACAATGCACATCCCTGTACGTCCACTTTTGTTGAGGGACAAACTGTTCCGCTTCAGGCACACTGCCCTTGACCAGCTCTGGGCATGGTGGAGGAGCCAGGGCACAACTGAAGGAAGGATCCTGGAGGATCAAGCCTGTGTCATGCTCCTGTCATGTGCACCACGCTACATTTTTTTTTTCCCCAGCAGGAAAATGGCCAGGTCCTGCTCATCTGGACACAGCCTAAGAGATTAACATGGTTTTGACCAATGCAAATACTAAAATATTTTAAAACCTTCCAGTTTCCTTCCTACTCCCATGTCTGAATTAGCAGTCAGAGCTTTCCATCCTTGCCTGCTCTCCTCCTCTGCTCTCCTTTTTATCTCTAAGTCTCAATGGATATATCCAGATTTATGCTAGGGGTTGGTTGCCCACCACACAGTATGCCATATTGATGGATAGGTGCTCAAGATTAGGATAAACTTGAGGTTTCATAAGGGCAGCTAGGGATGAATATAAGAGAGGGGATGAAATGGGCAGGGAAGGCGAATGGTGCAAATGTTTATCCAGTAAAGCAGTGCTAACACAAACCCCAACTCATGGTAGTAATTTTGCTTTGCTTATTCTGTAGTGCTTTATAATAAAGCTTTCCAAAATAGTTACCTTCTGAATGCAACAAGGAGCAAGCTATCCTGTTTTCATTATATTCCCTTACTGATATTTCTCAAAAAGAGACTGTTAGTGAAAATAACCATAAAGGGGAATATTTCTCTTACCAAATATACCCGTTCGTTCATAATCTGCGCGTGAGTTTTGTGCACCAACAGAACAACTCTTTACGTATAGATTCTGATCTTCAATCTTCATGTGGTTGTTTCTTCCAATTTGAATCCCAGCACTGTTATGTATGTATATATCTCCTTCTGTATAAAGACAATTTAAGAAAAATATACAAAGATTAAAATTCAAGAAGTGACCTGGGGAGGATGGGGAAGAGGGCTTAGAAGATTAGTGAGATTATTACTTTTTGAGCCAAAGATAGTCATCATGAGTATTTTATATTCAAATTAAAAAGGCTGTTTCTTGGCAACTGCAAGAACATATTCATTATTAATTTATAATACTTCAGCACAGAGTACTCTTAGGTTCCATGAATTGTGCAAAAGCAGAGGAATTCATAATCCCTGCCCTAGAAACTTGCATTCTAAATAGAATAGATAAGATAGGTCACAGACATAATTTACTGGGTGAGATGAAAATAAGAATCAAAATATCAAAATGGGGTAATGTTTCTTTTAATAGCAGTGGCGGGGGGGTCCTCCACTTGGAACTTCAGTGGGGTGGCACTGATTTTATTCAGCTGATGACCTGCGCCCCAATCTACTGTGAAATTTTTACAAGGTTTAAGTGAATTTAATATTAATCATTTTAACAACTGTACAGAATAATACACATAAGTAAACAGCATAAGTGGCTGTATACCCACTACTGGAATGGTCTATACAACAAGGTTAGATATTAATAAGATACCTGAAGTGCCATAAGGAGAGCTGTAACTGCAGTTGCATAACCTTTGTATGCTAGGGAGGTTTTGGGTAGAGTGCTTTCCACACCCCCTGCTAGTAGGTTAGTACAGGTCTGAACTGCTCCAACTGAAAGGCTTAATATTACAGGAACAATAAAATACCCAATTACTGAGTAGATATGTTTGAGATTTATAAGTGCATAAAAGCAAAGAACAAGAAAATAGTGACTGATGCAACAACTTTAATACATATGCTTAAGGTAATCAAGATAAAGGTTGAAAAGGAGACTGTCTTTGTGATTTTAAAACCAATACTCTCCTGTTCCTTTGGTGTAGACCAGTGGTTCTCAACCTTTATAGACCTAAGGCACTCCTCCATAACTTCAGTGAACTGAGTGGCACCCCATTTGCAAACTGATTTACTATAGTGCTTATGGCTTATCTCCTTACAGAAGGGCAGGGGAGCAGCCAGGCAATGAGGGCCTGAGCCTGCCCTTATCCGCTGATCTCCCCACCTCCTGTGGTACCCCTCAAAGGATCTCACGGCAGCCCAGAGTACCACGGCATCCTGGTTGAGAGCCACATGGCAACAAACACATCTTTTCAGATCTGGCTTTTGGGTTTTTTCCTCATGGAACTGAATCCAAGTTGTGAATGTGCAGTTCTCTAACACCATGGAAAATTACTGTTTGTTTCATGTACGGTTGGCTTCTTCTTGTAGCTGTGGCCCAGTAAACACCCAAGAAGCAAGACTTTTTTGTGATTTATCTTTTTACTGAACCAACTGTACAACTGGGAGAGCTGTTTGCCTCATGACCAGGGATCAGATCCATGTTTTCCACTCGCCACAAAAACGCAGTAAAATGCAGATTTTTCTCACTTTTTTTTAAGAAGAAAAATCTGGGAAGCAGCAGGTTTCCCCTCACAACCTAGCAGAGTTCCAGCCTGCAGGGGGCTGGGGGGAGCAGGCGGAGAGCAATCGGGCAGGGGGTGCCATAAGCATGTGCACGCGCATACATGTGCATGGCAGCCAGGCAGCATGAGAGCAGCTCCCACAGCTCCCTGCAGGTAAAGGGGAGGGGGGTGGGCAGGATTGCCCACAGGAAGGGAGGGAGGGAGTTGGGCGGGGCTGGGGCTGGTTCCCAGCCAGGGTGGTGCATGGGGCTTGGGGCTCAGGGGCCATGGCTGGCGTTGGGGCAAGAATGTGCAGCTGTAGGGCCGGGAGCAGGATGGAGCCATGCATGACTCATCCAGGGGAGCTCAAGCAGGGGAATGGCTCCCCGCCAGTGTGCACACTCCTGAGGGAGGCATGAGGGGCGCGTGCCCCCCAGATTTGTGCATAGGGTAGGCGCAGATGTGGTCTGCCGGCTGTGGGCCCAGGGCTCCCTGCCCCTGGGGCCTCTGTAGCTCAGTGGGCAGGACTTGATGCAACAGGGCAAAGCAGGGCAGGGAAGCTTGGTGCCACTGCCAAAAGCCCTGCACTGCCATGGCGAGGCACTCCTTGCCTGCCCAACAGCAGTGGGGGTGGCAGTGCAGTGGTTTCAGTTTAATCAAGGAAAAACATGGATTGGGGGGGGTTAAATCGGAGAAAGTGTGTGGGTTTATCAGAGATTTTGTGATTTTTAAACAGAGAAAATCAGGACCCCTGATCATGACAGTTTGTAACTCTAAATTATAGTATATTAACATCATCTCTTGAAGGTAACTCCTTTGTTTTACTGATTACCTCATTCACAGCTTTTAGAGTAGACTTCAGGTTCAATTTTTTAGTACAGCTACTAAACCACTAGAGATTTCAGTAATTTTGCAACATTATCATCACAGATCTTGACAAGCTGCATTTTAGCTCTAAAGCACAGAATAGAAATTTTCATGAAATAACCTACAAAGAGGTGTTCTCCCAGAGAACACATGTTTAACTGCATAACTATGTTGTGTGCAAAATTCCTGTAACAGTTCGCATCAATGACCTGTTTGTTCACATATGGGGCTGTTCAGATAACTAAGTAGGCACATGCATTTGCAAAAGCCCTGTTTGTAAACACAGCTGTGGAACAACATGACTGAGTTAAGGCTTGCAATAATAAGTGATTCTGGCCTGCTGCCCTTGTAAGATTCTGCGACTAAAGGTCTTTATAAGTGGTTATCCAATCAAATGTTTTAATTCATCTGAATACTAAATGTTGCACCTTAAATATGATTTTCAATCATGGACACTTAAATTAGGAGCCTCAATTCTACATTTTCATAGATTTCATAGACATTAGGGCTGGAAGGGACCTCAGAAGATCACTGAGTCCAGCCCTCTGCCCCAGGGGCAGGAAGTCAGCTGGGGTCACAGGATCCCAGCAAGATAAACATCCAAATTTCTCTTGAAGGGGTTCAAAGTAGGTGCTTGAACTACCTCTAACGGCAGGCTATTCCAGGCCTTGGGAGCTTGGACAGTAAAGAAGTTCTTTCTTATGTCCAGCCTGAAACGGTCTTGCAGGAGTTTATAACAGTTTGATCTTGTCATCCTTTGGGGCGCTCTGGTGAACAGACATTCCCCCAGATCCTGGTGAACACCCCTTATAAACTTATAGGTAGCCATCAGATCGCCCCTGAGCCTGTGCTTTTCCAGGCTGAAGAGTCCCATAGCTCTCAGCCTTTCATCATAAGGTCTGTTTTCCTGACCTCTGATCATGTGTGTGGCTCTCCTCTGGACTCTCTCAAGCTTCTCCACATCCTTTTGAAATTGTGGAGCCCAAAACTGGACACAGTACTCCAGCTGCGGCCTCACCAAGGCCGCGTACAAGGGGAGAATGACATCCTGGGATTTGCTCGAGAAGCATCTATGGATGCAAGCCAGCATTTTGCTCACTTTACTAGCTGCGGCATCACACTGAAGGCTTATGTTCATCTTGTGGTCAATCATGACCCCCAAGTCCCTTTCATCCGTAGTGCTAGCTAGCATAGCACTGCCAAACCTATAAGCATGCTGCAGGTTTTTCTTCCCGAGGTGGAGAACCTTGCATTTTTTGGTGTTAAACACAATCGGGTTCACGCCTGCCCATTTCCTGAGCCTGTCAAGGTCAGCCTGGGTCGCCCTTCTGTCCTCAGATGTGGATGGTTTACCCCAAAGTTTGGTATCATCGGTGAACTTGGCCAGTCCACTTCTGACTCCAATGTCCACATCATTAATGAAGATGTTGAACAATGTAGGTCCAAGGACAGAGCCTTGGGGGACCCCACTGGTCACAGCGTACCACGACGATTGACTTCCGTCAACCACCACCCTCTGGGTCCGACCACGGAGCCAATTCCCTAGCGAGTGGATTGTGGTGGACCCGAGGCTGCAGTTGGCCAGTTTTGCCAAGAGGTGATCATGGGATACCAGATTGATGTCGTATATCTTGACTTCAAAAAGGCCTTCGATCTCCTCTCCCTTGTCCAGGTGATAGGTCACCTGATCGTAAAAGGAAATAAGATTGGTCAAGCAAGACCTACCCACAACAGACCTGTGCTGGCTATCCCTCAGTATGTTGCCGTCGGCCAGTCCATTAAGAATGGCCTCTTTGATAATCTTTTCTAATACCTTCTCCAGGATAGAAGTCAGGCTGATGGGCCTGTAGTTTGCCGGATCCACTTTCCTCCCTTTCTTGAAGATAGGCACCATATTGGCCTTCTTCCAGTCTTCGGGCACTTCGCCAGAGTGCCAGGAGATCTCGAAGATCCGTGCCAGGGGCTGAGCTATGATGCTAGCCAGCTCCTTGAGTACCCTGGGGTGTAAACTGTCAGGGCCAGCAGACTTGAGGTGTCCAGCCTCTCAAGGTATTCCTTCACAAGGTCAGCATTGATGAAGGGCAAGGAATCTCCCTCACCTGGGCCTCCCTGTCCCGTAATGGGCAGAGGCATCCCATGGGACTGGTGAAAGACCGATGCAAAGTACCCATTTAGTAGGTTGGCTTTGTCCTGGGCGGCAGTCGTCCCATCTGGTTTAGCAGGGGTCCAATGTTGCCCTTGCTTTTTCTCTGACTCCCCACATATCTAAAAAAAGACTTATTATCCTTGATACTTGTAGCCAGTTGGAGTGCTGTCGCAGCCTTGGCTTTCTTGGTTCACCCCCTGCAGGTCCGGACCAGTGCAGAATATTCCTCCTTGTAGGTGGATCCAGTTCTCCATCCTTTGTAGGTCTTTCTTTTTAGACGCAGGCGGTCCGCTAGTTCCTTGCTGAGCCAAGGGGGCTGCTGTACCCTTTTGCTGTCTTTCCTCTGAGACGGAATAGACTTAGCTTGTGCATCTAGGATCGCTTCCTCGAGGATCAACCACTCATCCTGAACTCCCCTCCCCTTGGGGTCGAGGTCCCTAAGGGCCTCACTGACAAGTCTCCTGAGCTTGTCAAAGTCAGTGTTCCTGAAGTCGAGGACTTCTGTATTGCTGACTGACTTGCCAGCTTTACGGCGAATGGTGAAGGCAATCAGCTCGTGGCCACTGTCACCCAGCTTCCCTTCGATCACTAGGTCACTGATTAGGTCATCCCCGGTTGCCAGTACCAGATTGAGCAGTACCTCTTGTCGGCCTGCAGACTTCTTGTGCCAGATAAAGCTTCCTCTTGTGCATGGATGAGCTCTGTGACCGCTTGGATTTGGCTGAGCGCTCTTCCCACGAGATTCTGGGTAGTTGAAGTCTCCCATTACAACTGTGGACCGGGAGCATGCAGCCTCAGCCAATTCCCTGGCGAACTCCTGGTCAAGCTCTTGACTTTGGCTGGGAGGACTGTAGCAGACTCCCACCATTGTGTCCCCTGTGCCATGTTCCCCACAGATTTTAACCCAAAGGGTCTCCAGTCATCCACCCTGGGTGACAATATTGGCTTGCAGGGGTGCGTAGCTCTTGACAGAGAGAGCTACGCCCCTGCCCCTTTTGTCCACTCAATCTCTCCTGTACAGGGTACAGCCATCTATACCCATGACTGGACTATGGGTGGAGTCCCATCAGGTCTCTGTTACCCCTATGACATCATAATTATTTGTGTTAAGCAGGAGGACAAGTTCCTCCTGTTGAATGCCAGGAGCTTGTGGAATAGTGTACAGGCAGGCAAGTGTCCCCTTGGGGGCCCTTGCCTTGCCAACAAATTGTTCCAGGGCTGGGGCAGGGGTGGGCTCCCTTAAGTGCCTTGGCCTGCTGGCTTTGCAAGGGTTGCTCAGCAGGCCAGCAGTGGCAGTAGTCCCCACCCCGTCTCCTGGCAGGCTTAGTTTAAAGCCCGGTGGAGCAGGTCAGCCAGTTTGGCTGAGAAGAGCCTCCTCCCCAGCGGAGAGAGATGGAGGCCGTCCCTTCCCAGCAGCTCACTGCCTCTCTCACCAAAGAGCAGACTTTGAGCACCCTAGTTGAAGCTTAGGTGTATAAACAATCATATCTGATATCCAAGTGCCAATGTAGAACTGCTTGATTGTGATTGGGCCAACAACTGGATTACTGTGCATGAAAATATTCTTTATTACAATTGCTATGTCAAAAACAGTGATTTGTTTCTAAAAGTATATAGGAAAACAAAAATAATATATTTTATCAGACTTCAAATTCTGTGGAATTTTATTGCTACCCAGTAGGAACACAGGCTGAAAAGGATCTCCTGAGTCACGAAGTCTAGTCCCCTCCTGCAAACTACCACAGCTTAGAATCCCTTTCATAAATCTCACTGATTTGATATTGGGAAACCATTCTTCTACTGTCCAGCCTAAACATATACATGGCCAGTTTGAACTCATTTGTCCTAGTGCCAACACTGTTCTTTAGCTTAAATAGTTTTTTGCTGTCTAGTATTTGCTCTCCAAAGTGGTTATAAAGAACTATCATTATCCCCCCTCTGCCTTTGTTTTGATAGACTTAACAAGGTAAGCTCTTGTAGTCTCCTCTAGTGAGATGGACTGTCCACTCCTTAGTCATCCTAGTATTCCTTTCCTGCACCTTCTTCAGCTTGGATTCACCTTTCTTGAACCTGCTTGACCAGAAGTACACATAGTACTCTACATGAGGTTATCTAGGATTATAACAATATTCCAGTCATGACAGAGCTATTTAGAGCCACCCACTCTGTCTTTTAATGTTCACTTTATCCCCGGACATGATGGACTCTCTGCAAAGAAGCTGGAAACTCCCAGTCTGGATAGAAGAAGAGGGAGGGCCAGAGGCTCTATTAGGAGTATAGAGATGCTGTCTGAAAAGCAGGGTATCTACCAGCTATGTACCAGCACATACATCTATGAGATCTGTAACTCAGTGCTTTCTTGAAAGTACAAGTGATTAGGGTTAAACAATTCCTTTCCTAAAGCCTGTATTCTTTGCCTGCATGTTATATTGTCCTTGAAAGAGTTAACTGAAAAGCTCAGAGAACCAATAGCAAAGACAACTAGTGGTGTGTATAAAAAGGCTGAGACATGGTGTCAGGGCTTAAGGTAGTCTGGCTGTGAAGCCCTGTATCCCAAAGGATAGCAGATGTGAGGCCTGCATTTGGGAGTCTGTCCAAAGGAGAGAACAGTGACTGTTTAGTGTCGGAGTGATGTTGTGGCTTTGAAGGTCCAGGAATTGTGAGAGGCAAGGATTTATTAGGGTGATATTATTTATTGGATCAACTGCATATCTGGGATAGGTAGAATGCAACATTCTTCCTTTTTAACAATTTATGAACATAACACAGTATTAAGTATCTGGTCCAGCCAAGAATTTAAGCACATACTTAACTTTCAGCTTTGTGTACTGTCATTAGTATTTGTACCCTGCAATTTTTAGAAGCATGAAGCAAGTATATTAATCAAAGTAACTTTCAAAGTACTGGTCATCTGTTATGTTGTTTAAGGTATAAAGCACATCCTGTAGGCTTTTAGTAAACAAGGTTACAGTACTTACCTATGCTTTTTGGTTGTACTACAGGGACCGCTGAAAAATATTCAAAAGTCTTTCTCTTAAACTGACTGGGTTGTATTTTACCTAAACAATTACAAAAGAAGACACAAAATACCAAAAGTATTTTATTATACATAAAGGCAAAATTGCATCAAACCAACTGTAATACTTAAAATTAATTTTACTTATTAGATTCACATGCTACTCTTCCCAAAAAAGGTTCAGGGCAGTTTACAAGACAACCAATTATAGAAACTGGATATAATATAAAAATAAGAAGATGCAATGAAACAACCTTCCCCCCCAAAAAACTCGTATTCAGAAGCAATCCACTTCACCCCGCCCCACCACATCTCACTCTCTTGCCACTGACCAAGGAGAGCATCACCCCCTCATAGCCCAACTGTATTCCATAAAAGAATTACTCCATAGAAAAAAAATTCTCCTCTCAACTCCATTTCCCCGCATCCCAGAGCACAATTAGTGTTCCTGTAGGCAGAGACATAATAAATTGCTGTTATTCCAAAGCTGAGGCATTTTTAACTAACTCAGATAAAAAAAAAAGCATATTCAACTAAATGTAGCAGTTACCAAAGCACCCAGCTCTGCATCAAGATCCTTTTAACACAGATTCTTCCTTGAAACAGAGTCCTCAGTCTCCCAGTGAGGTTAAAAGGTCATTGCTGGCCAGTACAGGATCAGAGTCTGGAGATGGATTTAGGTGCCTAATACGTAGGTACTCACCATCTAAGTGACTTGGCTCAGGTCACACAGTAAGTTAGTGGAAGAGCTGGCAGCATGGGCGGAGCCAGGACTGCAGCAAGGGAGGTGCAGCCACATCCTCACTGGATGTGTGGAGCTGTGAAGAGTGCTCACTGCCCATACACTGCAGCCACACCCCCTGTGGCTGTACCTGCCCCTGTCCCTGGATGCCAGTGAGCTATCTGAACTCACCATCATGTGAACACAGCTGTTGCCAGAGCTCTGTACATGCTGCTAACTCTCAGCTCACCAGCTAGTCAGCACAGAGGCTGGCGTGAGTCCCTGCTTTTGCCCAGCTCCAGAGTCCCAGGGGTTAAGCATTGGTGCTGTTCACCCTCCCCATCCCTCTCCCACACCCTCCCTGAATTGAGCAGCAGGGGAAAAAGAGGGGATGGGCAGCAATAGTGCTCAACCCCTTGTTTGCACAGCTCTATAGAGTCCAGGGGTTGGGCCCTGCCACTCCTTCCCTCTTTTCCCCACTGAAATCATGGGGGGGGATGTGGAGAGGGGGGGAAGGGTGAGTGGCAGTGACTCCTCACTCTGACCAGCTGGTGAGCGCAGAGCTCACAGTCCATGTAGAGCTCCAGAAGAAGCTAAGCTGATATGTCAGTACACTCAGAGAGTTCACTATGTATGCAGTGCACAGCCAAAGGGGGTTGTGACCAGACTGCAGCACTCCCACCCCCAGATCCATCCCTGGCTGGCAGTGCAATGCAGATCTCCCCGTTCTCAGTCAGATATCTTTCCTTTGTGTCATGCTGCTTCCCTAAAATAGCTCTTGTATTCCTCTGGCTTCTGTACAGGATTTGAGAAGCTGAGCACATAATTCCCATTTGCAGATATGGCTGCCTTTAAATCCATGTCCATAAACTTATTCACATAGTCCAGTGGTGCTCAACCTTCTGGCCCCATGGGCCAGATGAGTGTGGGGGGGGTAGGTTTGTGGACAGTTCAGCATGGGGTTGGCCTCACACATTAAATCCAGCTATGGAGCCACCCTGCACACTGTCCTGGCCCTGCATGATGGATCCAGCCTGTGGGAACTCCTCATGGGACTAGAAATTTAGCGGCAGGAGAGCAGTGATGACATTAATTGCCACGGCTTTGGAAGCCATGTAATGATGCCACTGCTCCCCTAACACCAAACTTCTGGACCTGTGGGGAGCCCCAAGGGCTGGAAGATGTGGCCTCGCAGGCTGGATTCAGCTTGTGAGACAGAGGTTGAGCACCACTGATACAGTTGAACAATAACAGACTGCACACAGGATTATTTTGACAGACTGCAATCTTTTTTGGCATTCTCTGTAGTAATTCTATGGCACCCACGGTTTCCTGGTATGGGGAGTGCTATAAATGGATGCCATACTAGGAAAACCCAGCAGAAAGAGTAAGAGAATTAATCTATTTCATAGATGGGTGGTATTTCATAGATATTAGGGCAGGAAGGGACCTTGGAAGATCATCAAGTCCAGCCTCCCACCTGAAGGGCAGGAAGTCAGCTGGGGTCACAGGATCCCAGCAAGATAAGCATCCAATTTTCTCTTGAAGGTGTTCAATGTAGGTGCTTGAACCACCTCCGATGGCAGGCTATTCCAGACCTTGGGGGCTTGGGCAGTAAAGAAATTCTTCCTTATGTCCAGCCTAAAATGGTCTTGCGATAGTTTATAACTGTTCGACCTCATCATCCCTTGGGGCGCTCTGGTGAACAAACGTTCCCCCAGATACTGGTGGTCACCCCTGATAAACTTCTAGGTGGCCATCAGATCGCCCCTGAGCCTGCACTTTTCCAAGGTAAAGAGCCCCATAGCTCTCAGCCTGTCGTTGTAAGGTCTGTTTTCCTGACCTCTGATCATGCGCGTGGCTCTTCTCTGCATTCTCTCAAGCTTCTCCACATCCTTTTTGAATTGTGAGGCCCAAAACTGGATGCAGTACTCCAGCTCCAGCCTCACCAAGGCCGAGTACAAGGGGAGAATGACGTCCCGGGATTTGCTCGAGAAGCATCTATGCATGCAAGCCAGCGATTTGGTCAGTTTACTAGCCGCAGCATCGCATTGAAGGCTTATGTTCATCTTGTGGTCAATGATGACCCCCAAGTTTCTTTCTTCTGCAGTGCTAGCCAGAGTAGCACTGCCAAGCCTATAAGGATGCTGCAGGTTTTTTCTCCCAAGGTGGAGAACCTTGCATTTTTCAGGGCAAATCAGGACACCATCAGGTTCTCGTCCGCCCATTTGCTGAGCCTGTCCAGGTCAGCCTGGATCGCCCTCCTGTCTTCAGGTGTGGATGCTTTGCCCCAATTTGGTGTCATCGGCGAACTTGGCCAGTTTGCTTCTGACTCCAATGTCCACATCATTAATGAAGATGTTGAACAATATGGGTCCAACGACAGAGCCTTGGGGGACCCCACTGGTCACAGGGCACCATGATGATTGACTTCCTTCAATTACCACCCTCTGGGTCTGACCATGGAGCCAATTTCCCAGCCAGCAGATCGTGGTGGACCCAAGGCCACAATTGGCCAGTTCTGCCAAGACGTGTTCATGGGATACCAGATAGAAGGCTTTTTTGAAGTCAAGATATATGACATCAAGCTCTTCTCCCTTGTCCAGGTGATAGGTCACCTGGTCATAAAAGGAAATGAGATTGGTCAAGCAAGACCTACCCGCAACAAACCCATGCTGGCTATCCCTCAGGATGTTGGCATCGGCCAGTCCATTAAGGATGGTCTCTTTAATAAACTTTTCTAAGACCTTCCCTGGGATAGAAGTCAGGCTGATGGGCCCATAGTTTGCCGGATCCACTTTCCTCCCTTTCTTGAAGATAGCTCTAGCTAATACCTTATCTTGTTCCTAGAAGGTATATGGTATACATTCTACAGCCCAGCTCCATTACTGACCCACTTGTTTACATTAAATTTCTGCTACATTGGCAATACTCTCTCTCTTCCTTTCCATACCTGGGTACCCTTCCTTTCTCAAGGAGATACATTGTTCATTTGCTAGTATTACAAGATAAAATGGATACTCATAACTTTCCAGAGAAGAGGCTTTGTCAGTCTCAGGGCAAGGGTTGCCCACCCTCCAGGGTTGCCCTAGAGTCTCCAGGAATTCGATCTAAATCTCCAGAAGACTGTGTCACCCAGGAGATAAATGATAGAACATTCATTAAAATAAATATTAAATGTTGAATCTGATGTGTACAGTAGTCCAGTGAGTGTTTTAAATGTAATAGTCATGTGCATTTGCCTTCCTGATGTAAAGTCTATGCACTGTAATCCATAACTGATATACACAAGCACGTGGGCAAGTTGGCGTTCAGGAAATCTCCCAGAATGGATTCAATCAGAGTTGGCAACCCTACTCAGGGCTGCCTGCAGATGTGAATTTCTTATCAGCTATGGTATTACTCTGCCAGCCAGAGCAGTAAAGATTTCCTTTTCTGAAAAGTAACAAAATACCTCACTCTAAAGCTGCTTCTGTGCTATAAATGCCTTGCCTTTAGATTTTATAGCTGATTTAGGAAATAAAATATGACAGATTCTATATGCCACTCATTGTATAGCTCTTGAATTAAAGAACTTGTAACATGATTTGGTGATGGGGTTTTTGTTTGTGGAATTTTGAACATAAACAGGGATCAGAAGATTTCATTTATAAATGTAGCTGCCTAAGACCAAGTGCCAAGCAGTCACTTGGTCTTATTCTCCTGTCTACAGTGATATCAAACAGGAGTAACTCAGTAGCAGAAGTCAATGGTATTTATCAGGAAAAAAATACACTACAGAAAAAAAGCCCAGAGCATTTAAAATGAGCACAAGTGACAACTAGGGGTCACAAAATGAAACTAGTAGGTAGTATATTTAAAACTAACAAAAGGAAGGTTTTTTTTCGCACAGCATGTAATTCAAGTGTGGAACTCATGGCCGTCAGATTAATAGATTCACAGATGTTGTGGAAGTTGACAGTTTAGCCAGATTCAAAAAGGGATTGGAGGGGACAAATTCTTGGAGAATAGTGGCACCAGTAGCTGTTGAGCATGGGAGTTAGGGGTACAGCCTCTGAATCAGAACTTCCTAGGGCTTAAATGTTGGAGGCTGCAAGTGAGAGGGGAACAGTAGAAAAAAACCCTGATCTCCCCTATTTCACTCTCCCTTTCATCCTCTACTCTGCTACCGTGTGACACAGGTCTATTTGTGTTGAAAGACATGGGCTTAGACCCATCATGAAAGGGAGGCCAATGGGGACATAAATAATTCCAGGGGACAAATAAAGACAAAACAGGAAGGGGAGTGAGGTCACAAGTTAATAACAAGGGATGCTGAAGGGGACACAGGTAGAGTACACTGGCCAGCATCCACTGCCCCTTGAAGGAGTCAAAAGAGCCTGTAGATGCTGCCTAGTGAAACTTGCTCAGAGAAACTTGCTCAGAGACATGAGCGGAGGAGTGACAGGAAGACAGCCCCACACTTGCCTGGGTTCTTCCCAGCCAGAGCCTCCATCCTGGTCTTGTAGATGGCCAGCTTGGACAAAGCCAGGAGGAGGTTGACCAACAGGCCCAAGGGCTTGGTGGGGCCACAGATGGCAAGTGCATAACAAAAAAGATGTGGGGAGAAGTGCAGTCACAACCTCAGCAGGAGGTTCAGGAGGAGCGGAAGCGGGGCTGCAACCTGGTGCTGTGTGACAATACTGGGCAAGATGGCCCTATGGCCTGACCCAGGAAATGGCAGTTTTCATGATACAAAAACATCTGCAAACAAAAAGCAGTGGATCACAGTATATCTATATGAACCTTGTTACTAGCAGCATGGCTCAAAGGTAAGGTACTGAAAATTGTGCTAGAAAATGATTAGTTATTTTATTTCTGGAAGAAGAGCTAAAGAAAGTAGTTTTGATTATGTGTTAGAGTTACGCCAAGCAAATATCTTGCCTACCTGGCTCTGTCTGCAGGCTTTTTGGAAACCAAGCTGGGGATGTCTGCGGTTGATGGCCCAGGCCAGATTCAGGTACAGGGGGCTTATTCAGACTAAATGTATTGGCTGAGCCTGACCCATAGAGATCCTCTGTACTTCCTGCAGTGAAGTCTGCAGCTCTTGCTCCATAAGTCACATTTGGAGTATATGGCAAATATTCCTGTGTTGGCATTCCTGCAGGTGGTTGTTGTCGGAAATGATTGTAATTGGTCGTCTTGTTAAAAGGGCTGGCTTTTGGGCCTGTGTTTTCAGTTTTCACATGCGATTCCTTCATTTGTGGAGCAAAAGATGGTTTTGCAAATGGATCATGGGAAACCCTTCGTCTCCTTTCTTCCTCTTTCATTTCATGAGTGTACATTATGGGTTGGCTTTCTGACTTATCCATCCGGCTGCCGTATTTATGGTAGTTGTATTCATCCTGCAGTTTTCTTTCTAGGTTCATAAAGGGTTCCAAGGAGGTCTCGCAGCTCTCAACAGGGTGATGATCTGGGCAGGCAGCAAACATGGCTTCATTCACATTGCCAGCTGAAAGGCCCTGAGAACTGTGTAGGGATGTGGGCTGATCTGAAAGAGAGGATAATTCAAGAAATTAATTCTCTATAATGCAAAGGTACAGCTGTAGTTCTCAGGAACATCTGAACAACAAGACAATAGAGTCCAGTATCTTTATATTAAAACATAAATAATTCATAAAATGTAACTAAAGGAATGATAATACTGTGTTTTACATAACACATTTTATCTGGAAAGATTTCAAATTAGTTTACAAGCTACAGTGCAGTACAGATTGGTATTCAATTATAAAACCTCATTTACTACTTTGGTGCAAAATGTTGTCCTATATACAGGATTCATTTTGATAAGTTCTCGGCTACTGAAGTGGAGCCACCTCAGAAGATATGGAGCTAACAAATAAAAAAATGTGAGTTCTTGGACTCAAAAACAGGGTTTGATGTTAACTGGACTTACACCTGAGCAAACCGAGAATACAGTAGTGAACCAGGCCTGTAGTACATACCTACTTGTTGGTGCTATTTTATACAGTACTAAAGTTTGATATTATTCATGTTTTCTTCAGTGGTCCCACCATACAGTTAATCTTAACTAGGAATGGATCATTTGGCCAATTTAATGAACAATGACTATGCTAGAGAACTGCCTTTTACTCATAGTCTACTTCAGGGGTGCTCAACCAACCTTGGCATCTGGCCTGTGGGGTCCTCCCTGGGTCAGGAAATTTGGTGATGGGGGAGCAGTGGCCATTAATATAGCAACCCTCCATTCCCCAAATTCCCAAACCTCAAGCCCCACATGGTCCATCAGGGTTGGCTGCACCCCTTTACCTCTGTGGGGCTGGGCCATGCCCTCTTCCCCTACAGGGCTGGCTTGGGGCTGGGCTGTCCCCTGCCCCCACTTGGCTGAATAGTGCCTGCTACAGGCACCGGATCAGGACTGCCTTTTTCAAATGCCTATAGGTTCATGTTACAGATCTGATCCCATCTTCTGTTAGCAGGACACTGTGGTGAAAAAAGTTCAGGTATGCACAGTACTGGGATTGTATCACATTTACAACCAGAGACTTCTGCAAGCCTGTGAAACGTGGGCCAACCAGGATTTGATAGGAAGCCTGCCAAGAGGAAGGAAAGGATGACCGGAGTAAACTTACGCCATTCTCATGTTCCCAAAGTAGACTCTCTGGGAAGCAAGATCTTAAATCAAGCAATACGTTCTAATTCCACATCCTTGTACTTACAGTATTGATGGAGATGGTTAGTGTGGGAAGTAGGGAAGTGTTCATGAACCTAGAGCCTAAATATGGAGCAAAAATTAGTTGGCACAAACAAAAGGATCGAAGGGAAGGCCAAGTAATGCTATTATGGCAAAATGGCAAGAAAACTGCTGACTCCAGAAGAAATAGATGCAATCTTTCAAGATATTGGCCATTCTTCTAATGGTAGCCAATAAGCATCTTCAGCTGATGGAAATAAACCAGATACTAAGTTCAGTGGGCCCAGTTTTTAAATCCAAAATGTTATAACTTACACATCTTTGGTCAGTTCAGACTGTCATTCATGGGCTTTTCCTGTTTGTTTATGCTTTCACTGCTCATACTTGTGTTCATTCAGAGATGTAACAGAGCAGCTAGGTGGCCAGGCCAGCAGTGATGCATGAAGGCAGTGGTGAGTTCTGGCTGCTAGTGTGACTGCAGCAGGTGCTGTTAGTTTTCCATCCCCTCCACTAAGTTGGTGCCCAGGGCTGCTGACCCAGTTGCCCCTCCTTGATATGCTACTGTCATTCATTTTGTACAGTTGTTCTAGATAAAGAAGGCATATATCATATTGTGTGTAAATGGGGTCCATTGGACCTATATTGCAGTAAGCTTTCTAAGCGTAATTGCAGGCATGCTTCTATGATGCTTTTTACTCAAGACAAGAGTAAGTGGGTTGTGACCACATGGTATAGGCTGATGAATGTTCTGGAATCTTTCCCAATATGAAATGTTCCACAATCTTCTAAAATAGAATAGAAAAACTTCAGGTAGAGGTTTCCCGATCATTCAATTTGTGTATATATAAATGGGTGTATAAGCATAACTAACTGATCAGTTTGCAACTGAACTCTGGCAGAACATGTGTGCCAACTAGTTCTATGGTTGTGATGTGCTGCAGAATTAACATTAGTAGGCAAGGTAATTAGCAAAGTAGCAATGAAAAATCAAATACTGAAAAGGAAACTTCTTCCTGGAAAGAGGAAAGCAGAACAGTGTAAAAAACCTGCTTTTCAAACAGTAGAGCTTGGAAACAGTGACTCATGACTTACAACTGGGATAAATCCCATTTTTTGATTCAATACTCTAGATTCTCTCCAGAGTTCTGAGTATGTGGGTCTGTTTGAAATGGCTTCATGATAAAAGGTTACATGTAGATTATACGAGCACTGAATTTTACCCTAAGCAAAACACGGGGAATAATGCATTAGCGACTAGAAATAATTACCTGGGGATGTGGTACTGGGAGATTCAGACACAGCATCTATCTGAAGGGACTGCATCCTTTGTATCTTTTCAGGTGGTGCGGGGTACTCTATCTGTACACAGGAAAAAAAACAAGGTGAAAAACAGATGCATTCCCAAAATAACATGCCACAAAAGAACGACCTGCACAGGTCTCATGCTAAGCCTGAATATGGAATACAGGTTGAGCACAGTGATTTAACTTTACTGCTAAACAGGCTTTGGAAACAATGTTTTCAGTGAAATTAGGTAGACCTGCTCTAGAATGATAGCATGTGATCCTCTCATCTTGGCAAACTATGTCCTTATATTTACTGGATGTGTCTACACAACACATATACTGTGGAGCTGCCTAATTAGCTCTGTAGTAAACATCTCGGCATCTAGACACGAGGCCCTACTAGGCTGCAGTAAACTAATAAACTCCACTGCAGGTTAGTACTTGTAAATACAAATACAGGTACTCCTCACTTAACATCCTCCCGGTTAACATTGTTTCATTATTACATTGCTGATCTATTAGAGAACATACTTGTTTAAAGCCGCACAATGTTCAGTTATAATGTTGTTTGGCCGCTACCTGCTAGTAGACAACTACTGTGATGTAATTGGATTCACTTAACATTGTTTCACTTAAAGTTGCATTTTTTTCGAGAACGTAACTACGACATTAAGTGAGTAGCTATACTATCCTGAGGTGGAGTTTTTTACTCTGTAGTAATGCATGTGTAGATGCTGACAAGGCTGGTTGAGCCACAAGAGTGCTTCAGTGCAGGGGCTGCCTGCCAGATAGCCCTGCACTGGAGCACCCTCATATCCCAGCCAGCCCCTCTGCAGCATATTGAGCTGTGTCAGAACAACCCCAGGCTGACAGGCTGACTCCCTCAGGTCTCCTGCCAGCTGGGGCTGATCCAACCTGGCTCAATGTGCTGAGGTCCTGGGCGCAGGTTCAAACGTGACACCCAGGAGCAATAAACTCCTGCACAATATGCACCAGAGTTTATTGTTTCAAATAAACTGCATGTGTAGACAACCACTGAAAATTTACTCCACAGAGTCCCATTAAATTGACTGTCTGGCTCTGTCCTGCTCTTGAGATACGACTGTGGATGAGGATGTGAGGAGACAAGTTTGGAGAATGTCTTTGAAAGGAAGCAACATGGAGTAGAAGTGTACTTCCAATTTTATAAACCTTTGTCTTCATTTCACAAAAGCCAAAGTATTGTCTTGTCATTGTGATGTTCCAGCTTGCCCTGCTTTTTTTTTGTTTGTTTGTTTTTAAACCCCCGACTAGGGCAAAACTTGAATTGAAGTAAAATGGACTTCTGCTTGTTTTAAGGATATTTGAATGTGGCCTTTTGCTCCTAGCTTGAGAGAATCTGTTCTCTGGAAGTGATTAGTCACTGTTTGTTTTTACTTCCAGGAAGTACTTTCAAAGATAAAATCAAGCCAAACCAACCCATTTCTTCCCATAAACATACCTTCTTCCCAGAACAAAGCTCAAGTCCTAAAGCCCATTACAACAATCCATTCCTCAGACCTGATTCTGACATACCACCCAGGTAAGAATCAGTCCCTTATTCCATGAACAGTCTGTAACAGGGAACCCCTGCTCCTGTTACTTGAAATTCCTACTAGGGTAGGAAATTAGGGGCCAAGGAGGGCAGCAAAGAGCAGGGAACCAAGTGGATTGAGCCAGGGGCTTAAAAAGCCAGAGGGCTACTGAAGCAATTCACTGCACCTGGTCCCTGCAAGAAGGGAGGGGGCGGACACAGCCGATCCAGTTGTGTGAGTGGAAGGAGGCTGGGCTGGGAGACATAAACCCAGTCTCCATGCATGTAAGGGGACAGCCCCTGCTTGCAGCATAAAGAGGAGCTCCTGGGTGGAGGTAGGGCCTGCGGGCAGCTTTACCCTGAGGGAGGGAGACTATTTGTTTTATGAAGCAGTTGGCTTGTGTTTCTTTTTTTGTTTCATCTTCTGAACTTGCAGCCGGGGGAGCGGATTGTGGATGCAGGGGCAGAGGAGACTATGAGCAGGGGTGCCTGGGTGTGCTCCCTTATTACAGGTGCCAGAAATCCACCCCAAGCCAGAGGAGCGGAGACTAGCACAGTGAGGCGGGACCCCCAGGACAGTGGACCAGTGCAGAGGGTGCGGCCAAAGAAAAAGGGGGCCAAGCCTCTGACAGCTGAAGCCCTGGCAAGCCCTCAGAAGCCTACGGGAGCACTCCCTTAAATGAGAAGTGTAGAGGAAGAGCAAAGGCTCCAGACTGGGGAGGGGGAACTGGCTTAGCTGAGTAGACAAGGCTCCCTGCAAAGTTACACCCAGCCCCAGGGACTTCTCCCCCAACAACAAACAAAATCAGTCATGGCAGGAAAGAGGTGGGAGGGGAAGTGAGACCTGGGAACAACTGGCAAGCGGAGCAGACCACAAAGGGGGAGACAACCAGGTGCTGGGATGGCTACCTCCCCCTTGCCCCTTGGGTCCTACACAGCCCCACAAATACAGGCAGCAGTTTATTCCCTGCCTGTATGATTTCCAGAGGACTATTTACACAGAGAGGTGCTTGTCAGAAAGATATATCTAACTAGTATAGCTATATCAATCTCTTACCATATGCATTTCCTTGGCTATTGTAATCGCATCCTCTACTCCCCATCCGCTTATGTTTTCAGACTGCAGGCCCTCTAGACCAGGGACTATCTTTTGTTTGTGGAGCACCCAGCACAATGGCTCCCTAGTCCTGGCCTGGGTTTTAAGATGCTTTCATAACACAAGTATTTACTAGCTGACACGAATAAGGTTGGCCAAGTTCATCCTGGAAGAATCTTTATTCATTAGCTTGATTTTTTTTTAAAAAGCTTTATTATCATGTCAGTCAATACTAGACTTTTCTTTATACTGCAGAGACTTTCCACATCAGAATCTTTCAGTTCCTCATTTTGCCGTTTCAGGGAGAGAGGAACACATCTAAAATATTATAGTGTGGCAGAACAGACGCACAGTGCAGACTCTTTCACTTCTCCACTTAAAATATGGGAAATCATCCTAAGCTGGCAGTAAACATTTCTTGGGAAACAATCTACTTTTCACTATTTCTCAGGTCAGGAAAACATCCCTCTATGAAGCAGTTTGCAATTGTACATCTATCAGAGGAAGAAAGGCCAGCTTGCATCTGATGGGCAACTCATAAATTTATATTTTCTTTCTTTTATTGTTATTAAGAACTTTTAATTTATTAACTATTAAAATTATTGATGTATCAACTGCTACTAATTTATAAATTATTCTATAATTTGTGTTGTAGTGGAGGTTAGAGGCATCAGCCAGGTTTGGGCCTCACTGCTCTAGGCAGCATATGAACGTATAGTAAACTGTATGCATATTAAAAACTCAGCAAAAGCACTCCATAAACTGTGGCCCAGATTGTTGCCTCTAGTCCTGTCACCAGACAGTCTTGCTGGTTTCTACCAATGCCAATGGAGTTACACCACAGTAAAACTGATGTTAAGGCCTAGAAGTACAATATATTTAAGTAGGTGTAAAAAAGGAATAGACACACCAGATATGACTACTGCAGCATCACTTACTAGAATTAGGGTTAGGAGTTACCACAGGGAAAAAAAGTTTTAAAATTACACTGCTGTTTTGCCAACCTAGATGTGCTATGCCTGCAGTTGTCTCGGGACAGCTGCTTGCTTGATACAAGCTCAGATTGCAGTCTCCTCTCCTACCTACTCATGAGGTGCTGCGATAGTGTTCAAGTGGCAACTCCCCTGAGGCAGCTGGTTGTCTGTCTGCTCTTATTGTACAAAACTAATACAGATTACACCAGTGTAAACATGTGTGTGTCCAGACCTTCTGCTCTGAACTGAACCAAGTGGAGAAACATATCGCTCATCAGAATCAGACCAGAATCTACCATATTTTCTCACAAACAACACACCTCCCCCCACCCCCTCCAAAAAAACCCTGCTGGACACTGGGGTGCACACTCTCACTGAGGAAACATGGTAAGAGCAGTTTCAGTTGCTTAAGCTTTTGCTAGGTACAAGTGAAAATAGCTCTGTATACAATCCACAGGGAGAAAAGCAATGAGCAGGGCTTTGCTCCCTCACTGCTGTTACTCAGTTACTCTACAAGGAAATTTTTTTTTTTTTTTTTAATTCTGCCTTTCAAAAACAAAGTGTGTGGTTTTTATTCTGGGATGTGAGAAAATATGGTGCTCCATTGTGCTTCTTTACACATAACATGGGTCAACTTCTTCCACTTTAACTCACACCAAGCAAGACTTATTGAAATTCCTAGGAGTGCTCACAGAGTCCAGTACTATTCAGTATGAGTAAGGGAGTTAAAACCTGGCCTTAGGTGGTTGCATGTACACCTCCTTATGCTATGAAGAACATGGCATGTTACCATACTTACTTTTATCTTTCTCACTTCATCTTCAACATCTTGTTCTAAACAATTATAGTAGAATGGCTTGTATATGCTACTGATTTCTGTAAAAAGGAAAGAGCTTGGTGAAAGTCGTTTCAAGTGGAAAATATAAATTACTGAGCCACATTTGCCTACTTCCAAGAAAACTTTATACACTGGATTACACAAATTTAGAAAAACAACAGACTTTAGTCTTAAAAAGATCAAAGTAGAGATGGTTTTATTTTCTATTCATTTTTAAACTAGCAGATGCGCTCAAAAACATTGGTCTATTTAGTAACTGTCCAACTTCAATGCCCCTACAGGCTGTGACTTTCAGACTGGGAATCAAAGAGGCTGAGCAGGTGAGCAATAGTCAGGGTCCTCCAAGAAAATGCTCTCATATCTTGCTTCACATGCTGCACCTTTCCTGTATTCTAAGCTGCAGCTGTGTCTTGGCAAGACGAAGATACAATTCCGTTCAGCATTAAGACCAAACAGTGCAGTTTAATTGTTCATCTGAGCTGACATGCTGAGTACCAGCTCACACCCAGAGCACATCCTCTTTCCAAATGCACAGCTGTCAGGTATGTGAAGGATCCAAATCCTTTGGCTCCACGTAGGTGGACGGAGGGAGTAGAACCTGTGCTCTTTTGCGGCCAAGAATAGCAGTTGGGCCTCTAGCTCTTCCCCCATCCTGCACACCTCATCTGCACACCTCGTACATCCTGCACATCTCACCTATGCAAGGGGCAAACACAACCTGGATCTTTCATACAAACTACAGTGGAACCTGGATCATTTGGATCTGGGTGGTATACAACCTGGTTAATTCACAGTGGAGTGTTGAATTAGGAGTAAGCTGCTACAGCTTTCCTCTAAAACATGCTGCTTCTCCACTCAGCTGGTGCATGAGGCTAACACATCTCTGATGCAGCTGTGTATACCTCTGTGCTCATTTTGCTGGATTTTAAAATAACTGTATATGTAGCACCATAATAACCAGGAAGCAGTAAATCACCTTTAAAGGTTGGCCGAGTCTCTGGCTTTTGTTCCCAGCACTGCTTCATTAGTGAGATAATTGTCTCTGGACAACTTCCTTTAATTTCGTCTGTGTCTGGCCTGCTCCCATTTGTGATGCCATAGTAAATTTGTTCTTCATTTATACCATCTGAAAAAGAGAATCTTGAATCAGGCTCCTAACTGCAGGTTTTGCTGATGCAAAAGGTCAGTCCTGCACATTGAAATGGCAGAGTAGGGTTTCCTATATTTCTGCTGAAAGGGTAAACGAAATCTTCAAAGGAAAGTACTTAAACTATACCACCAACCTCCTGTTGGCATATGCCACCACTCAGAGTCTGTGAGTAAATTAGGAGGCTCTGATTCTTCAGCCTTTAATGAGAAGAAGCTCAATTTACAGTGACATAAACATCGTGGACACTTGTATTGTAACTGAGTGGATTTTCAGTCTTATTTTATGGATCTTGCAGCAGTGGATCTCTGTTGCTGCATTTGAAAACTGACATGAGAAATCTAGCAGTCAAAGCATAGGATTGGGAGCCAAGAACATCTGCCTCAGCTTCTGTGTGTGTGTGTATATATATGTGTGTGTGTGTGTGTGTGTGTATGTATATATATGTGTGTGTGTGTGTGTATATATATATGTGTGTGTGTGTGTGTGTGTGTGTGTGTGTATATATATATATATGTGTATATATATATGTGTGTGTGTGTGTGTGTATATATATATATATACATGGTGCATCTGTAAACTCACAAAGCAATCCAGGGCCTTGTAAAGATTAATGAGTCCTGGCCTACACTTGGACCTCTCTCTGCAGTTGGTGACTAACAACTGCTGTAGCTGCACAAAGGCTGGTTCTTATAAGCCCTGGTTTGAATCAGTTGAGCTTCCTGCTTCCAGAAGAGGTAGATTTCAACTTGCATATTAAATGCAAACCTCTATGGATATAAACAGATCTTTCTCAGGAGAGATTTTTGTCATGGGACCCTACAGACATCTGAATCTGTTGTCCCACTTCGAGTACTTGTGAAGTATGCGAGAGAAAATGTGGTAAGACTTGCCCTAGAACAATGAGTACATCTGTAAGTTGGCTGTGGGCAATTCATGTTAACTGCACATCAGTCCAGAAACAACCCTGTTAGGCTGTGTGCTCTTGCTGGCCACTTGGTGAGAGAGGAGCAGTAATTCAGTTTGGAAGGGCTGTGTGTGTAAATGTCTGTGCCATTCCTGTTTTGAACTGGGTTAATACCTGGGACAATCGGGAACAATCAAATGAGAAGCCTGTTTGTAGCCTACATGTCCTTGCCCACATTTAAAGATCACTAGTAATGCAGCTACACCAATTGATGGTCAGTAATTCCTGGGGTGAAAGGGTAGAGTATTATTTAATGTTTGTAGGGTATTTTGAATATACTACATGAAATGAAGACAACATGAATTTTCCTTTGGAGAAGTTATTTCCAGATGACTTACGTTCATATGGCTCTTTGTTAGCAAAAATTGCCCAGAGCACAATGCCAAAACTGTAAACATCTGACTTCTCCACAGGTTTTATGTTAAGGGATATTAAATGCTCTGGGGCCATGTAGAAGAGAGTGCCAGCATTGGACTGGGACGCATTCTTGGAAGCACTCTTCAGTTTCCTCTGTCGATTAGTCTCTTCTTTGGTCAGTCGACTCCAGTTTTTAAAACAGGCGACACCCAAATCAGCAATCTACAAAACAAAGCAGATCAGAGCTTCTGAGAATGGAGGATGTGGCAGAGAGGAAATAGGGCAATGCATTTCACATATGACTTTAGATTATTAATATATTAGGGACCATTTATCAAAAAGTTGAGTTGTCCAAAAATTAAGCATTCCAATAAACACAGGCAAGAGAAAGCAAATGAAATAAGTTTAAAGTTGTATGGGCCTTTTTTGGTAAAAGCAAATGGTTGCTAACTGTGACACATTAGTCCTCAACTCCATTAAAACTGTTAGCATAACAGGACAGGCTGTTATAACAAAATTTCTATTTACTTATGTACAAGCCCAAGCTGGTTACAATTGCTGGAGTGATGCCTACAAGGTAAAGCTCACCTAAGGGCAGAATTTTACCCTGAACCCCTTTAAAACCAGGTTTCAGGTTGAGAAGTGAAGCATGTAAGATGATGTAGCTTGGATCCATCATTTACAGTCAGATTTCCTTCGATTCTCTTAAACTCCTTCACCCTTTTGCATTCAAAGGGAGAGGGAGGGCTTGCATGGGCAAATCTAGGATTTTGAAAAGGAGGTTGCAGATGTTGTGCATCATCACATATAACAGGACATGCTTTTTTCTATTTAAAGAGAGACTAGAAGCTTTACTAGGGGTTTGCTAGGGGTTGAGCACTATATTTAGTTTAAGATCAAAAACAAATATAACTGTACTGGGATGTTTATTAATTTGCTAATTTATATTTAGTTTAAAAAACACAACAAGGCAAAAAAGGTCAAAATAGTCAAAAGAGACTGTTTCATTAGTCCTATGTTCATTATAACTGTTGTACATACCTTATTCAATTCATAAAACAAAATTTAGCCTTCTAAAGTGTCTTTAAAGTACCTCCAACACTTCACTAGCTTAGACTATTCTGACTTATTTAGATTTGCCTTTGAATTTGGCCATAGGGTTTTAATATTTATAACATGGTTATGGTAGCTTGGTGTGGTTTCATCTATACATTGAAATTCAGACCATAAGACCTGAATACCTATGTTGTACAGACAGGAGGTATAGTCATCAGGTACATCTAGTTGGAGGATGTTCAGACTGCCTTTTACTCTAGTCTTAGTTAACCTTGTAATGTCATTTGTCACCAGCTCATGTGTAACAAGAGGCAGAGCTCTCCTTATTAAATCATCTCGCATAAGGATGCAAGTGAGTTTCAGTTGTTTCTTGACTGGACACAAGACAGTGGATCTGAGAGGCTTCTGCGTATCCTACTCGGGTTTATTCACTATGCAGATCAGTTTTGGTCCAAAATCCACTGAGATCAGTAGGAAGGCTCTATTAACACAAAGAAGATTTGAAAGATGCCTATAAACCACTTTTGCAGAGGACTGGGGTAATATATTTTTGTAGCTGCTGGTTGATATCTAAATATAAGAAAGAAGGAATGCAAAGGACAGAAAAACAATATTGAAAGAGGGAAAATGGAGAAGAATTGGATAATACTGAGATATGAAAGGAGGACAGATGTGATCCATAAGAAACTTTAATCTGGTCTTTTAAAATTTTGTCTCAAACTGTAGGTGCTGACGTTTGTTTAAAACTATGGTTTTTAACCTTTTTGGACTCAAGACACCCTTCATTGGACTTGCAACACTCTTCTCTAACCTCTGTGAATTGAGAAGCACCAATTTCAAAAACTGATTTTATAGATCACAGAACTTATTCCCTGGCAGAGGGGCTGGCCAGCGGGGGTCAGGGATCATTTGGGCAGGGACAAGCCTGAGTCTGCGTCTATCTACTTAGTTTATCTGCTTACACCTCACGGCACCCTTGAAAGGAACTGGTAGTACCCCAGGATGCCTGAAGCACCCTGGTTGAGAATCATTAGTTTAAAACTTAATATGCCCTAAATAAATTAAATGAAGAGAACCAATATTTTGTCACTACTTTTTCATATCCCATGGTGTCTTTTCACAGAGAGGAGATGAAAGAGAGTGGGGCCACTGTGCTGCTGAAATGTGCTCTTTACCAGGCCCCAGGACCATTATATTATAAATTAATTTCAGAATCCTTCACAAATGCTAGGGTTTGTAGAAAGTGTGTCCTCAGCATCTCTGGCCCAAATCCACAAGCTTTCTCCATTTGAATTCTAATAGTACCTTAATATGAAAGTCATTGTCCACAAGGATGTTTTCCGGTTTCAGGTCTTTATGTACTAAACCTTGCTCACTTAAATAAACCATTCCTTCAATGATCTCCAGGATAAACCGCCCTTTCAGAGGCATAGGAATTGTGGACTAAAATGAAGAAAAAGAAATACAGATGACTGTTGTTTTGTTTGTATAATAGTTATATTGCTATTTAAAAACAATGTTGTAAAATGAAACAAATAGCCTTTAAAAGGCATCCTTTCTCCACCTTACACAGTGTCTTTGCTCTAGCTGGGAAGGAAGGAAGAAACAATATCTTTTTATGGTGTAATCTATGCCAAAGTACACTGGAGGAAACTTGAGAATTCCATATTTACAGTGGTGGATCAGTGATAAGTAACACTCACTCTAATAAACCCTCAAAGGACGCATCCCCTCAGCTCTCACAGAAATTTCAGCAGAATGGAATGCATGCATCTGAGGGTGGTCTTTGGCCTAATGATTCAAGGAGACTACTGTCTGGTCTTCTGAAACAATCAAAAATTACTGCCATGTTCGATCCCGGAACTAACTCACTAGGGGCTAAATGTCGTCTTCTATGGCCAAAGCCTAAGTAAATGAGACACGTGGGGACTGAAGAATGGTTGGGGGAAACAGTTTTTACCCTGCAGCTTGGTATCAGAGCAATTTTACAGGTACTTTGCTGCTACTAGCCTGCCACTAGCAACAAGTACAGTCACCTAAGCTACCTATATGGATAGAAGGGCACCTCTGTAGCCTCTCTCCTCCACTTTGCCAAAGAGAAAAGTCCTTGAGCAGAAATCCACAGTGTGTGGGTATAAATGACATCTCAATGAACTGCCCTCCCTGTTTTGCAGCCTTCACAGCTGTTGCTGCACTTGGCCCTTAAGCAGAGAGATGAGGATCAAGAATGGAGGAACTTGACTATACAGTTACATCTTTAGTGACAAAAGCAACACCGTGTCCCTTCCATGCTTCTTATCAACCCTCAACAGAGAATTGATTTCACTTCCTCATACTGAATATTGAATAAATATATTTCATGTATAACCCACACCAAGGCTTAAACACCATACTGCTCACAATCTCTGCCAAACAAAAACAGAAACAATGACCTTTAAAAGAATCCTGAAAAACTATTTAATTTTTTAAATGATTTTTAAAACATTCAACAGCATTAGCTTGCAATGATAATGACTGACACATTCCTGAACAAGAGAGACTTTAATCCCTGGCCTATGGTTTCAGTGTTCAGTCCCTGGCCCATGGGCCAGACTTGACCCTCAGAGCCACATCATCCAGATGGCAGGGCTTCTCACAGGTTGAAAATGCGGGACAGCCTTAATTGCTACTCCCTCCCCTGCTGCCAAATTTCTGGACCTACAGAGAGCCCCACTGCTAACATGGCTCTGCAGAGTCATTAGCTGTGCAGGGCTCAGCTGGAATGAGGCCCAATCTGGGCAGACAGGGCTGGCCTGAAGGGGTACAGGGCCTGACCTAGGCACATGGGGCCCAATCCAGGTAAACGGGGCAGGGCCAAGGCAGTGCAGGGCCTGACTTTGGTGTGCAGGGCTAGGCCAATCCAGGAGTCCAATCTGGGCATGCTGGGACATGCCAAGGCAGCATGGGGTCCAATCTGAGTACAGAAGACCTGCTTTGGGCCCACAGGACCCAACCTTGAGCATTTACCCAACCGTGAGATCTGGCCCTGTGTCACTCATCTGGTACATAGGGCCCAAAGATTGAGCACCGCTTTTAGTTCTCTACTCACTGTTTTTAGCACGTGCATCAGACTCCCCTTGTGGACATACTCCATCACCAGGGAATAGTTCCCATCTTCCAGAATGACACCTAGTAATTTCACCACGCGATCATGTTTTAGTTTGCGCATAATCTTGCCTTCCTCCAGAAGGGAAGCATTAAATCTGTGGAAGGGAAACAACAGGGTTACATTGTGTTCAGGTGCCAGATTGGAGAGAGCATAGGCAGGCTGGCAAGTCCTGTGGATTCAAGATGAAAGAAGCAGCCAAAATAAGAAACCCACTCCATGATCTTTGTAAGAAAACAGGCTAGATCTTTAGTTAATTTAAATCAGCACAGCTCCATTGACTTTAGTTTACACTAGTGGTTGGCAACATTTAATAAGCTATGGGTCAGGACAATCAAGTGCGGGCAGCTCTGGCAGCATGTCAGGTTTTCTCTGCACCCGTGTGGACACTGAGGTGCTGGGCAGGTCTCTTCCACTGGCTCCCCATTTAACTTTATCCCCCAAATTACCTTAGGGTTTGATTTTTCATAACGGCATAAGCAGAAGTTTTGTATGCTGAACAGTCTTGTCTAGCTAGTTTATGCATTTTATCAAAAATCAGGCATTCAATATTTTTTGTTGAGGTTTAGAAAATAGTAGTGAGTAATTTTTGAAGACTGGGCTATTGATTGGCTTAATTTACCACAAATATGTATAGTAAGATACCTAAAAAGATAGACAACTAGATTTATCATTCTTAAAATGATAAGAGCGTAGTTAGACTATCAAATCAAAGTAGTAGTGCATTTCCCAAGATGTTCTATGCCCTCCTCTAAACTTCTTTAAAAAAAGACCAAAAGCATCAAAACCAACCTAGGAAGAGGGAATAGGCAGGGGCAGTAGGGCAGCTGGACAGACCACTCAGTTGTTCTGGTTTTATTTTAAAAAATGTCAGTCTCTACTTGCTATAGCTACAGTAGCAGCCTTCAAAACCTGACTGAAGGGTACTCAATGCAATAATGTCTGCCAGTGACTGCAGACAGCCTGATAAATTAGTTTGAGAAGCATGAACTGTGCCTTGTATCTTAATGGATGGTAACTCCTGCAAACAATGTTATGTTTTTAGTTGAGACTTAATGTAGAATATTAACACATTTTATAATTCAGTTTAATGTCACTGATTTTTAAAAATACAGATAGCTTTTAATAATAATAGTATAACCAGGATTCTTCACAGGGTTAGGTTCCCTGGCCCTACAAAGATGAGGGTTTATGAAGTGATGGTGAGTGAACATACAGTGCTGTCATAGACAGCTGCGCAGGACTGCTGAAGTGGTCCAGCTGTTTGCTGCAGTTTTGAACCACCTGGACATGAATGATTCAGGTCCTACTGTACATGGTGGACCTGAAAGGGGAGTATAATTGGTTACATTTTTTGCAAAAGGGAGAGCCTTGGTTTTCTTAATTTGTGAAATACTGTTTTACTGGCTGAAGGATCTGGAAATGATCTGCTTGATACAGAAAGAAAGAGAGAGAGAGAGAGAAATAAAAAGGTTTGGGTTAGATAGGCTCTAGGGACCTTTTCAGGAGCTGCCCAGGCTTGGATGGAAGTATGTAGGTCTCTTTACCCAACTGCTGTTGTACAGAGACTGTCTCAAAGTTGAATTTCAATTGGGGTTTATTACAAAGACAAGACTACCAAGGCTGTGGACATGGGATGTTTAAACAAACCTTACTGTTTAGCACTAAGGTCTTGGAATACTGCTTGTCCAAAGGCACCTGTCAGTTGGATGTCTTAATGAATTGCACCAACTCTCAAGCAGGGAGCTCTACATGAATGTTAAAAAAATGACTTGGACCACATTTTTACATAGACTGGAAGAAAGTTAGTAAGGAAAGAAGAAGTCCAGCCATATTACAAGGGGAAGTGGCAGTTTCCACATAATATGTTGGCTGCTCACCCTCTTCCTGGCTATTAATCAAGGGGAAACTCTTTCCTCTTGGCCCTTTCTGTTATTCTGTAGCTCCTGAGAACTGGTTGGGCTGCTTGCATCTACACTTGGCTCAGGCTGGAGCTTCATTTAGGCTTCTGAGCCTACCCTTTAACTAACAATCAATTTAAGGATCTAAGGATAACCAAAGCACCCTTATAGCTAGGGGAGAGGAGGTGCAACCATTAATGCCATTTGTTGTAGCAGTCTGCTGACTACAACTATCTCTTAATTCAGTCTCTGCTACTATAATGAAATGCAGAACTATTCATTTGTCTTAGTTCTGTTGTTATAACAAAACCCAAACTAGAGGAATGTGTGTCTTTTGTCTCCCTCTACTGGCTGAGATGCAAGAGATTTATGACTCCGAAAAATATTTTCCTAGCAGTCCCCAGAGGGCATTTGCACTTAAATTCCTGATTGTATTTGACATTTCACTTGCATGCTTAAAAAGATGACTATGTTATCCCAGAGTTGTCCAGGGGAGTCTTTATTTTCATTTAAATGCACAAGAAAGTCCTTGTTCTTATACCTTACTTATGGAAGCTATTAATTTAATCAGGAAAACAAGAACTTCATTTTATGGATAAGGCAATACTATAAAAGAGTTAGTTTTTCAGGGAAAGTGAAAATTGCTTGCTGATACCTGCAATATAAGAATACTTTCTGCATATATAGTACCTGTCATCCAAATATTTTAAATAATAACAACACAACACTTTTATAGAACCTTTTTATCTCTCTTAGATCCATGATGAGGCTCCTTCTCCCTGGCAAGGTGGCTTTGTTGTAAATGAGATTCAAATCCATGCTCTCCAACTTACTCAGTGCGTTGGGGTCCTGTGTACACTGTTTTTAACACCACAAGCCCTTGTGTCTTGTGCAAACATAAAGAAACCATCCCAAATCCTCCAGCATCTAGTTGTTCTTTTTTCAATAGATCCTTGCTGTTCATGTGGATATCTTCCAGTGAAATGTCTGCAGTCCCCATGGGTTCAGTGATTTAAAAAAATACAGTACTCCAGTATCTATGACCTAAAGAAGGAAGACTAAGTATCATTATCCAACATTTGGCTAGAAAATGAAGATTTGCATATGTAGTGGGGGGGAGGGGAACAATTCTATAACACGGTGGTGCTGATATACAAACAAGGTGCAGTGAAACCCCACCTTTGAGCTGGAAGTGCTTAGCATCTCATGCAATCAGGTCCAAAGATCATGCATTGTGGTTTATTGCAGCTTACTACCTAATGTTTAGGTACTAATCAAACTTTCTTCTTCAGTTTGTGGATCTCCAAGCACTGTTGAGGACTCAAGCTTTGCCCTTCTAACATACAAATCCTTTTTTCCCACCCCATTTGAATACATAAGAAAACTGAAAAAAATAGGAATGTTAAAAGGCCAGACTTTCAAATGAAAACTGATGAGCAGGGATCCTGGTTTTCCATGATAAAAACAATGCAAATTCTCTGATAAAACCCCAAAATCCGCGATTAAAATTAAAGGCCCCCCACAGCCTCCACAGCCCTGTTTATGCCCCTTGCCCCCCACCCATAGTCCCTGCCCCCTTGCCATGCCAGAAGGGGCCCCCATCTGTCAGGGCTATGGGACCAGGGTTGGGGCTTTTCTGCCCTTTTTGCAAACAGCTCTTGCAGGCTGCAACTCAACTAGCCTGCAGAGCTCTTTGCAAAAGGGGGAAATCCGTGGATTTCTCTACTAAAAGAGAAAATCCACTTTTTTTTCTGATAAAACCAGGCAATCTGTGGTTTTCTCTTTTCCTGTGGGAAACGGAAAACCTGGATTCCTGTACCTAACTGGATTTTTAGGCATCTAAATACTGTTGCGCAACTGGCCCTTCGTGGCTTGCTGAAGACCACACAGGATGCTAGCTGCAGAGCCAACCCCTTCCATCAGGTTTCCTGAGATAAAGTTCTCGTTTTTCACCACAATGTTATTTTTTCTCCTTTGCATGATGCAGTCAAACACAAATTACCAAATCCTCACTGTGACACCTACAACACTGGGCAGTTAGACTTGATGATGCAGGACATTTCCATTCAGTTAAAGTTCCTATCAAACTCAGACGAGCAGATCAGTAACTTGTCCATTACCAGATTCAGATGGAATTTTTTGGGGCTACCCCATGTACAAAGGCAGCAGGTGCATTTGCTTGGTTTTGATAGGTCTTAGGGTAGAAATTAAAGCAAGTCTGACTCCATCAAAAATGTTAGCTCTTGTACAAAACATTAACAAATGTTAACGCTCTCAGTAACCATGCAGGTCTGCCACCTTTATCTGACTGCAGCATCAGGCCCAGAACTGAAGGACCTTGCCTTCACACACTTGTGAATTATGAGCTAGTATCACTACAACCAGTGTGATCCCTTACTACAGAGAACGTGGTCAGCTAGGAACAGAAAAAAGTTTTCATAGGATTTGGTAGGATTTCATAGGACTGTTGTTTGGTTTCATAGGATTTCATAGGATTGCTCTTTCAGTCAGGCTCAGAGTTTGCCCCTGTTCTCATTTCAGCCCAGAATGGCTGGAATCCTGGGAGATATATTTCCAATGTTGATGAGAGCTAGAGGGTGTCAGAGGAAGGCATGCTGGGAGAGGGTGTGAGGAGATACAAATAGTTCCCTTCCCTTCAAAATTAGGTGGAGGATTACTTGTGGTGGTTTTCCAAGTATAAGAAGAAAGGCTGAATCTATTCTGAGGCCGAATAAGGCCTGGAGAAAGTCTACGGAGGATGCCAAGTGGAAGCCTCTGAAAAGGTCTAACAAGGCACCTGGGTAAATGTTACAAAAACGTGTGCTTGATGTGAAGTGGTTTGTATGTGGTAAAATCTTAATTAAGAGCTGGCAAATTGAAATATTTTCATGTGTCAGCAGATTGAGGTGCTAAACTGTATAAGTTACAAATTGTTTTGTTTTCACTAGGCTTTTACCTTGCATGAACTGCTTTGAGTTAAGAACATACTTTGTAGTGAAAAAGAGGTTAGGAAGATCTGTTTGCTTCCTTCTCTGTTTGCCAAGTTGAAAATCAAGTATCTAAACAAACCATACATCTAAATAAACCTGGGAACCAAGTAATGTTAGCAAGGCATGCTGACAACTGCAGCAGGTTACTCTATTAAGGTAAATGAAAACCCTATCTAAATAGGATATGGAAGCAATATATATGGGACTAGGCAAGAGAGGGTTTGTTAGCTAAGCAGTATCTGAAACTTAACTAATCAGTCTGTTAATGTTAATCAGTCAAACTTGGAAAGGGTAAAATCAGTTAAAAAAAAAAAAGAAGTCAAGCTCTCACCCGATCAGCACACTAACATTATAAACCAATCATACTACTGAAGCTTTTGTATGAGGAACCTGAAAGGGAGTGTTTTGGTTAGTGAGACTGGTAAAGCTAAGCCTAGACTTGAAAATTAAGAATCTGTGGCAGGGAAAAGAAAATAAGAGGGAGAGTTTGCATGCAGACCTGGTGCCTTGTTTCCTGCTCCCAGAAACAGTACTTTCTGCTGGTTGAAGAGGGAAGGTGGTTTCTACCTCCTTCCCTGTGAGCACAAGTCATGGGTGCTTGCTACATGGTCATAGGGTCTCCCTCAGGATTTCATCTGCACCTTGTTTGATCCTGAGTATTATGCTCTGTTTGGATTATTTGACTTTTTTTTTGCCTTTGAAAGGATTTTTTTTGGTTCACCTGGAGAATTAATGTACCCTATGAACCAGGAAACTGAGCCTGTGCCTGCATTCACATGGAAAGAAGATCCTCGGTTTTGGTCCTGTCTTTCTCAGTCTGCAATTGCTTAAATAATTAATGTCTGTAGCAGAGGCAGAACTTCTTATGCTGTTTCATAACTCGGTCCTAATCTTCCATAAAATCATTAGCAAACCTCCCATAGGTTTCCTTAGGTGTAAGTCTTAGAAGGGAGGTGTCAAACGTGCCACTGGTTTGAATGCTAATCATGATACTTGAAGACTTTTTTTTTTTTTTTTACTTCCTGCTTTCTAATTTAGTTTAGAAGTTTTCTAAAAGTATTCTCAGAATTGTATATCAGTAGTAGTTTGCTTCTGAATCAAAAACTGGCACATGTAAGTCAAATACTATCTAACGTAATGATTCTCAACCAGGGCTGCACAGCACCCTAGGGTGCCCTGCGATCCTTTCAAGGGTGCTGTGGAATCCCAAACTGTGTTTGCATTGTTAGGTTTACAAATGTGATTTGCAAGATTAAACCCAGAGACTTTAAGTAGAAATCTACAGTTGTGGTCTTTGAGTTCTTTGCAACAGAAAAACTTCTCTACTGTTTTTCTGTAGGCAAAAAGTAAAAACTAAGAGATGGCACTTTTCAAGGTGTGCCTTGAGTCTGTCCAGGGGTGTTTCAAGTCTAAAAAGGTTGAGAACCACTGACCTTGGCTGGGATGATATAGTTGGGGATGGTCCGGCTTGAGTGGGGGAGGGGAGGGTTGGTCTAGGTGACCTCCTGAGGTTCCTTCCAACCCTAATTTTCTATGATCTACCTAGTTGTTTTTCATTCAAATAACTAGTAGGCACATGCAGTTCTTGCAATTGCATGGATAAAGTTAGCATGCATTATTATTACTATTTTTTTAACGTTGACCTCTTATAGATTCATAAATTGTAAAGGGCTGGAAGGGACTTTGCAAGATCATTGGGTCCAGCCCCCCTGCACTAGGCAGGAAAAACAACTAGGGTCAGGTGATCATCCAGTCTCCTCTTGAAGATTTCCAAGGTAGGTGATTGCACCACCTCTGAAGGGAGTTTATTCCACAGTCTGGACACCCTAACTCTGAAGAAGTTTTTCCTAGTGTTAAGCCTGAAACAGTCTTCCAGGAGTTTGTGGCCATTACTCCTGGTTTTCTCCGAGGGTGCCCCAGCGAACAGTTGTTCGCCGAGTCCTTCATATATTCCCCTGATGCAGCAGTAAGCTCCTACCAAGTTCCCTCTCAGCCTTCTCTTTTTTAGGCTGAAGAGGCCAAAGTCCTTCAGCCTTTCCTCATATGGCTTGCCTTGCAAGTCCCTGATCATATGGATGGCTCTTCTCTGGACTCTCTCAAGCTTTTCCATGGCCTTGTTAAAGTGCGGCACCCAGTACTGGACGCAGTACTCTAGCTACGGTCTCACCAATGCTGAGTAAAGTAGATGAATCACTTCCTTGGTTTTGCTGGGAGATGCATCAGTTGATGTATGCCTGAGTATTGTTTGCCCTGCTGGCTATAGCATTGCATTGACAGCTCATGTTCATACTATGTACCCCTAGGTCCCTCTCAGTTGTGGTGCTAGTCAGGGCACATCTTGATGAGTGCACACGTGCAGTGTGAGACACTGCAAACTGAATGTGGCACACTTGCACCTGTTCATCACACTGCTCATTTGCAGCACAGTGGAGTTTTTTGGGGGGGAAAAATGCTGCTGAAAAAAGCAGCGCAGTGCACACAGCAGCAGCATGCACTACCAGAAACTGGAGCCTGGCCGGCCAGCGTCATATTCTGGCTGCTGCCTAGGCTCCAAGTGACCAGCTCAGTGTTGCTGCTGCTCCAGGAGGGCCCCAGGACCCCAGGTAAGGCGGCTGAGGCCCGCACAGGTGTCACCTGGCGGCTCACTGGAGCATATTGCCCAGGGACAAAAAGCAGCAGCACAAATATGTGCTGCTAGGAAGTGCAAACCCAATGGTGCTTGTTGGGACACACCCTAAGAGAATACAAATCCTGTTGATGATCTGGGAGTTATAAAGAGATCCTCCACCCTAAATTGTTTACAATTGTTCCACACTGCTAATGCTGTTAAAGGTCAGAAGGTTGTAAATAGTCACTTGGCTTAAACAGTAGGCAGCTCGGAGACAGGATTTGCAAAGAAGTTCTGTGACTTTTATGAATCTCAGAAATGTGTCCCTAAAAGGGAGAGAAGAGTGAGCTGGATAGCACTGGTGTGGGAGACAGCAGGGGAAAGTCCTGAAATAGGAATAGAAGAGATTGACAAATGGGGAACTAAGGCTAGTATCGTTGATGAGC